TTTATTCTTCTCTTGGTTCTTCCTTTCCTTCCACCTGCCTCGTGCTCTGTTTGCTTCCCGTCTCTGCTCCGTCTTCCATTGGCTCTTCCTTCCTCCCTTCCGACCCTGCACAGGCAAAACACGGCAACAGTGCTCCGCAGTCTCCGTGGGAAAGAATCAATGGACACAAATCAGAGATATGTAAAGGGAACTTGCAGGTTTCTTCACTTTAATCTTCCCAATCACTGTTTAAAACATGGGTTCCCAAATTGGGGGGGTGTGAAGAAATTCCAGGGTGGGTGCGAGGCAACCCAGCTCCCCCCCCGTCAATTTCCTCCTCCATCCCCCACCCCCCCAAGTTGTGCTGCTATTTTTTTTGGCCTCAGTCAGTTCCTTTTTTTTTTGCTGCTGATGGGCGGGGGGAGGCGTGAGGGTTTCTCGAAAATCAGAAAGGGGGTGTGATGCGGAAAAGTTTGGGAAGCACTGGTTTAAAAGCTCTTCAAGTGGCGGTCTTGTCACAAACCAATTCTACTAGCCCGATACACAGAGAAGCGTTGGAATTAGCGGTCATCTGCAAATTCAATTCTCATGCTAATAGGATGGTGGGGACACTATCAACCTAGCAGTCAAGGAAGGAGCAAACAGCTCGTTGCGTCGATTCCTATGTGAAGGATACTGTCAATTGACTTTGATTCTTATCTGCTTCTTTTTAACTACCCAATCTTCAGATACTTACTGATTTCCTCTACCTTCCTGATTGTCTATACCCTCTGCTCCCTTGTCTCCCCCCTCTCCTCCCCCCCTTCTCCCCTATTTATTTGGGGCTGCACATCCTAAACTCAAAACGCCAGACATCTGAAGAAGTGGGCTGTGCCCATGAAAGCTCATGATGCCAGCTACATGTTGTATTAGTCTATAAAGTACTACCAGATCATTTATTGCTTTTTTCTGTACGGACTAACTCGGCTGCCCCCTGAAGCTTCAGAGACCCTGTTAGCCCATCCCTCACCTGCTCCAGGCCTCTCTTCTCCCCCCCCCCCCCCCCCCCCCACCCCCCCCCCCCACGTGGCCTCTCTTCTCCCCCCGCCCCCCCCATCACAGCCCATCTGGTGTCTTGGTCCTCTTGAATAACGCTGTCTGGGCAGCGCCTGGCCCGACGGGTGTCTGAATGTGACCAGGAGGAAATACTCTTGCCCTGCCTTCGCCTGGCCAGACACCTGTCTCTGTCCCCCGGTGTCTCTCCGACACTGATGGATGACTCGGGGGTGCTAAGTCTGGGATTAGATTGCCGCGAATTCTTGATTTTTGCTGCGTTCCTGCGCTCCACGTTATGTAAACACCGTGGCCCCCATCTGGGCTCCCTGCCCCTCCACTCAGCCCCTGCCCCTCCAGGGCCAGGAAATAGACCTACTGAGCCGTGGCGGGTTGGATTGCCAGGCTGTGAGCTTCCCCACAGCAGTGCCCCAACTAGGGACTTCAGTGCTGTGAACTTCTCTGCAGCAGTGCCCTGCACTGCCTCCTGTCCCATCCTGTGCCTCCCTCACGATTTCACAGACGGCCAGTGTCCTCCAGGGCCCAGCCCAACAGGGAACCTCCCCCCCAGCACAGCCCTTCTCAAGCCCCTTCTGAGTCCCACAGCCTCTGTTGTTTGATTCATGGCAGCTGAGGGGGTTTTTTTTGGGGGGGGGCATGCGGCTGCTGCTTCCAGCTATTTATCACCCTCAGCCAGTGTGGGAAAGACCTGCCAGGCACACCTTCCCCCAGGTCTGGCGGGGGAGATGCCACGTCAAGGCCAGGACGCCTGGGTTCTAACTCCTTGGCTCCAAGGGTAGCGGGAACTAGTGGTTAGAGCGGGGAGGGGTTGGGAGTCAGGACGCCGTGGGAGCCGGAGAGAAGCCCCCAGGTGGGGCAGCCGTGCTGGGAGCTGTGGGGCTGCGCCCGGCTCTGATTTCCCTGGTCGCTAATTGCTGAAGCCAGCTCTAATCGTTAACATTCCTGGGAGGTTTCTGGCTTCGCTCACCCTGGGCCCACCCCCATCCCAAGCACCAGCCCCTCCGGGTTGGGGGACAGGGCCTGCAGCCCCGGGCCTCATCCAGGCCAGGTCCGGGAGCTCCTGGGCTGCCGGGGAGTGGGGAGTCCCATTGGGTAGGCCCTACAATAATATGGGACGTGGCTATACAGAGGGGAGGGCAGCGGGGGTTGGGTGAGA